AAAACAAAGTACGAAAACAAGGTAGATGTACAGTGCTTACCCGATGAAGAGGCAAGAGCTGGAGAGAGAATAGCAGCTATGGAGAACACGAGCTCAGAAGTTGAAGAAGCAATGGAGGCTCAGAGAGAGAAAAGTTACAAAGTGTGTCAAAATGAAGAGGCTCATTTTAGGTAAAAGGGAAAAAAGGCGGGACTGTTCAAATTTCACGAAGTACGAAGACGGCGTGACAGCCGTCCTCAGCCAATCAGAGCATGCCACGTGCCATTAGAATGGGAAGTGTTTCAGTCTCTGTGATTGAAGAGACGTTACTACCGGACAACCAGAGCTTGGTGTGAAAGTAGCTCGGCTGGAAAGGCTGAAGGCTTTTAGGTCGGCAGGAAAGGCTAAAAATCTACAGCTCGGTTGGAAAGGCTGAGAGTTTATAGCTCGACTGGTTGACAGATAATCTCAATCATGCTAGGCAGATGGAATTAAGGGGCAATTGAGAGGGTAATTTATGTGAAAATTGGGCCGAGCTGGGTAATGGGCCGTTATGAGCTGCAGTACAAAGGGCCGAGTAAAATGGCCATGTAAGTTACTCCGGTCGTGTGGATATTTTGAAGTTAGTCCGGTCCTAAGGCCGTGAAGCTAGTCCGGTCCGATGGAAGATCGAAGTTAGACCGGTCTAACGGTACTTTGGAGTTAGACCGGTCTTGGAGTTACACCGGTCATGACATGTTAGTTCGGTCTAACCACGCCATGAGTTGTACATGAGAAGCCGACGTAAGAGTAGTAAAAGTAAAAGCTAGTTCGGTTTACTCTGCGGCTATGCATAGTCGTGTTTACTTCGGTCTTATAGGAGTTCGGCCATGATAAAACCATCTCACTTGGTTCAAGCAGTGAGGGGGGTGTTGGAGGATAAGCATTATCTTTCAGGAGTATGAATCCTAGGAGGACTCTGCATGGAGAAGTAAAAGTCCTACTAGGATTGTGCCACACGGAACCTATAAAAGCTCACAACATCACCTTTGGAGAGGTAACACATCTTTGTTTTCTGAGTACACAGAGCTTTTGTCTATTTGTCAAACTTACTGACTTAGGCATCGGAGAGGTTTCCGGCACACACCCGCCGGCTAGCTCACGTTTGAGTTTTCAGGTGATAAAGCGACGACGTACGGAGGAGCGCAGACTTGATCAACAGGATTATACGAGAAGGTTTATTTCTTTCCCGTACATACGGTAAATTGCAAATAAGTGGGATAGCTACAAAATAATTACACTACAGATATAATTTTTTTTTTTTTTATGCAACTCTAACTTATAGGAAAGGCTTGTACCAAGCATTGAATATATTCCCATATAAAAAAAGTAAAAAATAAATAAATAAAAAAAGCACAAAAATAGATTTACACCATATACACAAGAGACTTTTATCACTATAAAAAGATAATTATTTTTTAATTACTCCACTGAAATACAATTTTTTGAAAGTAATGTGTGTGGGTGTTTTTTATAATATTTTTTTTGTACACAAGCATTATTGATTCCAAATGGTAAAAATTGAAGCTGCATTTTCTTAAGTAGTTGAAGTAAAAATTGGTATAGAGTGCTCCATTCCAAATATCTAAAACACCACAACATCTATACTTGGCCTATGAAGAAGAAGTCTTCACACATTTGGAGAAGTATTTGTAAACACAGAGATGTCCTCGAAAGGGGGTTAAATGGATTATTGGCAATGGTGAAAACATTTCTCTTTGAAATGATTGGTGGTGTGGAAAACAAACTCTATCTCAATAGAATAAATAGGATTTTTTTTTGACTTTTTGGTATGAATCAAAACTTTTTTACTTCTTTTACTATTTTTTTTTTTAATTTTTTGATTAAAATTTAACTCCAAACAAGGTCTCAAAACAACAACGAGCTTAGAAATTTTTTTTATCCAAAAATAACAATTAATAAATCAAATTCGTTTACCAATTTGAACTCCGCACTTTACCAATTCCATCACACAAAATGATTCTGCACAAAATTTTGAGCATAAAAATCTGGATTGATAAAATTTCTCATATACATTTCAGTGCATAAAAGATAATAATATTATTTTTTATCAATTTAACTAACAAATAATTGATAATAATGGCGTAAAGTGTAATATGAATTAAAATATTGAAGGATATAGTATAATTATATCAAACATAAATGGATTAATGCATTTTTTCAAATTATTTGAGTTTGACTCCTATTCAGCTTGTTAAAATTTGTTTTATCTCCTTATGATTTGAGGCCGGAACATTTTACAAATTCAAATATATGCAGCGAAAGCCTTTGTGATTTTGAACTAAACTACAACTATTACATTTTCTATCCAAACTAAGAGAATGTATAACTCACTTGCCAATTTTGAGAGTAGGCATCATTTTTTCGTGAAATTAAAGTGAAATAAAAACATAAGAAGACATTTATATCCTTCATTCATCATCTACCTTCAAACTCTAAATACCCTAACTTGTTCCTACCCCCGTACACAGTCACATACACAGATTTACTATCGCCACACACAGAGATCCATTCACGTACACAGCAGCCACGGTTTGCCCCATTTGTTCACTCCCACAGTTCAACATAGATTGCATCTCAATACTTATCATGGAATTTACCCAAATTTAATCTCATTCACTGTAGGTGCATATACATATATATATATAGATAGATATACTTATCATGGCATTTGTAAACTTTGAATTACAGTAAATTACTGTTATATGTATATATTATATTTTTATTCTATATTTTTAATTTTTTTATAAATGAGATTAGTTTTTTTTTTTTTTTGTAGAGATCCAATTATTGTAAATTACTATATATTATATGCTATGTTTTTAATTTATTTATTTTAAAATGAGATTACTTTGTATGTATTTTTTATCCATTAAAATTGATAGTGGATGGGGATGGTTAGGCTAAACAAAATGCTGGTAGTGGTTTTATTTGCCGTTAACAGAGGAAAATAAAAAGATATGGATGAGGGTATAAAGGTCCTTTTGTCTTTTTTGTTAACGGAGTTAATTGTGCATTTTAGTTCAAAATGACGTGAGAGGCATTTGCATACTTTAAAAAATAGGGGTAAACTGTTCCGAGATTACCATGGGGGGTTAAGTGAATTTTATCCTACAATTTATCCTAAAAATAAAATGCACAATAAATAATGTCTTTTTACTTGTTTATCTATTTTTAACATAAAAAATAAATAAATAAAAAAGAAGCCAAGTGAAGGCTAAGAAAGGCCTAGCAAAAGCCACTAGTGCCATATCAGTTAGGAAAGGAGGACGTCAGTTAAGGCCATAGGAGGAAAAAATTATATTGCTGTCTTGGACAAATTCATAAGGTGCCCTTGTTATTGATTGGTTAAAGTTGTGAAATTCAGTATTTTTTTTTTTTTTTTTGTTTGTTTTTTTTTTTTGTTAAAATGGTAAGGAACATCTCAAAAAGTATCAAGTAATAAGTGATGTGAACCAATATTTCAAAACCATCAAATAATTACTCGGAAAGGGATGGTCCACCATGAGTAATAAACTTCCATGTTGTCCCATGGCTACACCACCAATGTTGAGTCAAACATTCACAGCAATTCCTCTCCGGAGCTCTCCCTATACTCGATTAGCACCAAACATATTTTTGTTTCCAATTTAAAAAAATTTTGAAAATAAAAATAATAAAACTGATAGATAAGTGAGATGTGTTGTGGGCTCAAGAGGCTGCTAAAATGTAATGACTCAGACAACCAAGAATCATGTGATGTAGAGTGTGATTATGGGCATCAATAAAAGTGAGAAAATGGACCACATATGCATATTAGCAATCACATTGAATTTTTGAAGATGGGAATAGAAGAGGGTGCACTTATTGATTGGATATTCCTTTGAAATATGTAGTGATAGAAAGTGCCTATTTATCAGTTTCAACTGAAAGAATGCTATGAAAAGTTTCAGATAAGTTCAGATCATTGTTGTCCTTGATGATGTTTTCTATCTTTGCTAGTTTCTTAGTTGTTTTAGGTTATTCCTCCTCTTTTGTTGTCTTATTTGTGTGTTGTTTTCTTATTGTTGAGCCTTATAGAACTCCTTTATGTTCTCTTAATCTTTTATTAAAGTTATTTTATTGCCAAGAAATTTTAAATATATGTATTAGTTGTCGTGCTTAAGGGACCGGTAGGGGGTGACCACACATTTTTTTAAACTGTAATAGTATAAATTCTTATTTTTCATTTTTGGAAAAATATTAGTTCTTTTATGGACTTTAATGTACAATTTTTTTTTTTTTCCGTATATACATTCACCCCCTTAAATTTAGAATTTTGCATCTATCCCTGCAAGTAAATTCCAGAGGCTTGGGTCTCAACTGTACGATACGAAGGATTAAGCAAAGACTTGAGACTGGGCAATAAAGGCAATGATGCAAACATTGCTTTGAAAATCCTGGCATGATTGTTGCATATTCACTTTTGTTGTGTTTGATTGGGAAATTTAGAAAGAAATTTAGAAAGAAAAAGGAAAAAAAGTGTGTGAAACTAAATAAAATTTAGACATATTTTATTCATATTTTACCTACATTTTCCATTTCCCTTTCCAAATCCCTCCTCAAATCCCTCAACTAAATACAACATTAAAGTCACGACTAGTTCTCATGAACCCTCCATTATGCAGAGATACAGCTCAAACTACTGATGCAAGTTGTTAATTTCCTGCTCTCTCCATTTTGGGCAGAGAGAGAATCATGAATTTAGCCAGCCATTTTACCATAAACTCAAGCTCATATCAACAGATTGGCTCCCAAGTTTCTAATAAACAGAGCATTGAGATTATTTGTTAAGAAGCCAATAGCCAATTTTACCAATAAAATCATATAGGCAATCTGAGTGGCAAATCAGAGAAATTGTGATTGGCAAATGTTCTTTTTTTTTTCTGGCACCTCTCAAACTAAAATTTGAATTGAGCTGCAAAATCAGAGTGATTGGGATTGTAAATACTTGGTTTTCCACACTTTACAAACATTGCTTTAAAATTCAAACCAATTACAAATCCAGTGTGTAATAGTAGCATTTCTGACAAAAAAGCTTAAGCCAAGAGGTCCAAACCCAAGAAGCTGCAAATGATGATCATATGTTTAAACTATTATTTCACTATCCTACTCGATAAAACAAACATGAAACCACCCCCATCCTTTCCGTTACACTCTTCTATAAAGACTCTGAGGAAAAAAAAAATTGATCTGGACCAAGATGATATGTTCCTCGTCTTCTCTTTAGTTTTTCTCAAACTGTGTTTTTCATTTACTAATCAATGAAATAGTTACAAGCACACTTCCACAGGAGCTCATAACCTGCCATGCCTCTCAAATCAAGAAAAATATGACACCAGTCATATCTCATGGAAATTCAAAGCCTTACTGACAGAAGATCATTTTCCCGAATGTTAAATCTGTGAATCAAACCAAAAGCAAAGATCCGTCAGTTGGGTTTTATGACCGAGTTGTAATGCTGCAAGGGGGATACAAAAAAACTGACACCTATTGTTTTTAAAGCACTTCTAGCTTCAATACCTGCTATAATGACAACAACTGAGACTTGTGGTCAATCCCATTGAAGACGAAAGTTCCAGACATTGGAACAAATTGCCTTGTAATCAGCTATAATGAAAACAAGAAGAGAACTTAGACATCAAAGTCTAACTTCTGGTAAAGAAATTTTGGCCGTCAAAGTTAATGAAATAAGAAAAAGGAGATATATCACAAACTGCAAATGGTGATTGAACCACAAGAATGACAATTTCACAAATGAAAATTAACAGAATTTTGCAAACCTTGATAATTTCCTGCGATACAATTCCCCTAATGAAGGCAGCAACTGCATGAAGCTCTGCAGCACCATATCGGCACATCTCATTGATGAGGTCCTCTGTCAAGGTTGAGCCATTGCAACCCAAGTCACTAAGTAGGCCAACAGCCGTGGTTTTCAATCGAGATATGTCGTCATCAGTCTCTCTGCAGATATTAGTCAAGTTATGAGTAAAGCAGAATGGATTTTGAAAGAAGCAACAATGGCAGTTGGTACTGGTATCAGGTGTTACCCATCGAACTGGCCAGGGAAACTGTTATAGTTTGCGGCAAACCGGTCCACAGCTCGAAGCAGAATATAAAACCCCACAGCGATACTGCAAAAGATAGAGCAGAAAACTGAAGATAGTGGCCTCTCACAGAACTGTTAGGGATAAGCGAGGCAAAGCACGTTCATTTTTAAAAAATTTCATGTTGGCTTCATTTGAAAATTTAAATTCCAGTAGTTTACAAGCGACAGCAGTTACTGAAGTTATACAGATAAGCTTCTCAGATTTGAAGAGTTTATTGAAAATCCAACTTGCAAGCTAGACATTTTAAACCTAAACCAGGAATAATCAACCAAAGCTATGAGATTATGAATACTGACATCTGCATGTGCTTATGTTTAAATTTATCAATTTCAGTCCACATTGTATAGATTACATGAATTCTGAAGACTTGATCAAACCTGGGTCTGCCATTGCATCTGACTGAATAAATTATCACGAAACCAAAAATATCAAGTTTTATAACCTATGTACTTACTTGCCAAGGGGAATTACCACAAATATGGCCTTCTCATTTCACATAGCCATTAGCTTATGTAAGTATTGAGAGAGGCCTCATGATTGTGACCAAAGAAGATCAGTCCAATAATTCAATGGTTCCTCTCTCTCTAACTGTTCCATTCTCAGAAACCAGAAGAGATCAACTTAAAGGGGTTCTTTGCTTTGTTTTCCATCTATCCATATTTAATAAACAATGTAATGTGAATAACTTTGGTTATGTCATTTAAACAGCTTCTTTGAACATAATGGCTAACAGTTTCACATGCCAGGAAGCTTTATAAATCTCAAGGTCTACACATGAGACCACAATTGACAGTTCAAATAAACATCACAAACTCAAATCTGTAGCCCATTTTATCTATGAATGATTACTATAGCCAAGCAAAGATGTGGCCATATACCTGTAGTCTTCATCTGTTAGATACTTCTGCAACTCTGGTTGGACTGGAGAGTTGAATTCATCCTCAAGGAGACGATATCTGCATACCTAAAAAATAGAATTGATTATGACTAGTTGAAAGCCGCCTACTCAATATATGGAGGACGATGTATGTAATTTATGCCTACAAAATCTATTAGAAGATACGAGCTGCTGGATGCTTGTACACCAGTACATGCAGGGTTAGTTGAAGGTGTGCCTGTTGAATAACTGCTTTTTTTATGCCAAGATATTCCAAATATATGGAGGACCTCTATCATGAGGACTACCTCCCCTTAGTTTCTCAAACTCAAAAACTTCAATGCTAAAAATTAGATAGCCAACAGCTAACAATAACAATGCTAGTAAAAAATACAGAAATAATTTCGTTAAATCAGGAATAAATCTGATTACAAAGCTATGACTAGAGTATTAATATGAAGATAGGATAAAGTGAAAGGCGAGTTGCCCATAGTACCTAACAAGATATAATTAGACCTTAAGCTTCAACATTAAACAGTCTCTTCAGGGAAGGGTACATCAATCATATTGTTTAGAACTTAGCATATGATCAAATTTGTTTACAATTGTGATAACATCAAAATTTAGTTTGCTATATAAAAAAGGGGACATATAATTGGTTTCATAAAAAATGTAGTAACTGCACACACTTACTGTGAGCTTCCTGGCATTTTTACAGAAGCTTTTTATCATCTTCTTTGAGATACTATCTGGATCTCTACCAATTTTCTTTAGAATATTCCGGACACGTTGCTCAATAACAAAAAAATCAGCCTCAGCCTTGGCTTGGTAAATCTTCTGCAAGTTTACATACAACCTGCAAAGGAGCAAAACATCCCTCAAATTTCACCAAATCAAATATTCTATCTTTAAAAAAAGAAAAAAAAAAATTGTTAAAAACCAACAGGATGGCCTTGGAAAGAAATATAAGTCACTAACTCAGTAGAAGATGTCATATCCGGTATTGATCCCTCAAGAGGTGCCTCCCCCGCTCCTTCATTAGCAATGAACTCCTGCAACGCAGGGAAAGAAAGTAATTTTGTTGTATTTAATGAATGCGAGTGATTTTTTTTTATTTAACTCCCAATGAATGCAAGTGTTAAGAAAACACTCACAGTGAATTAATCTTGATCCATCCAAATGTAAAACTAATCTGTGGATGATTACTTTTCTCTACTAGGCATTTTTTTTTGGTAAGTCTCTACAAGCATAACAAATATTGATTTTGGTATATGCTGAAGATTTTTTAATTGACATCTGTATATCATCGCAAGATCATTAGGCTCCAGATGCTTAATTGCTTGTCCAGTCAAGGAAGACAATCACAGCACAATAACAAAAACAAATAAACAGGAAAGACACGGGGTGAACGAAACAGAGACCGAGTGTAAGATGGAGATGAGAGCTTTACAAAAAAAAACACAATTAGATCTTGATCATATAACATATCCATCAAAAATTAAATAAAATGATAGATCTCCTTATAATGATATATAAATAAGCTCAAAAGGGAAGGCAACTTCAACTAATATGCAATCATCAATATGGCTGATTGCCCACTCTTTTTTTTTTTTTTGATAAATAGCTGATTGCCCACTTCAACTAGTGCAGAACCAGTAAACAAGAACCACAACTATGGTCTGTGAAAATATTCTCAATCAATATTCATTCATTCAAAACATAAGTGTTTTTGTTAAACCATCTCCATAATATATGCCTAGCATAGCTAATAAGGATTTAAAAAATGATAAAATAAATAAATTGTAAACAAATCCAAAAACTAACAAATGTCCTAAAAATACTAGGGGTGTTTGGTTTGTGTTTTGAGATAAATTTTCAAAAAAAAATTTGGAGAGAAAGTTAAGAAATTTTTTTGGTTTGTTTGGTTGTATATTTGGAAAATATTTTGGAGTTTTAGAGTTTGGGATGATTTGATATTTTGTTGTAGTTGAGTAGATGTGTGTGAGAGAAAAAGTGATTGCGAATGAAATACGAGAGATAAAAAGTGATCGATTGATATGTAAGAGAGAAAGTGATTTTGAAAAAAAAAATTCTAAAAATTTCCAACCAAACAAAATTTTGGAAATTTTTTTTTAAAAATTGTGTTTGAAGAGTTAAACCAAACAAGGCCCTAGGTTTCCACTTGACGCCTCTTGCGCCTAAAATATGCCTTCATTCATTTCCCTTTTGATCTCCATCACCAACCATTCTAGTTCCTTTCTACGAGGCCACACACACCCAAAAAAAAAAGAAGAAGAAGACACTTTCCAACCAAGCAACACAGACATTCTAAGAAGGTGGCATGTGCGTGTGCCACTGACACTTTTTTACTTTTTTAGACTCAGATACACTTCAAACACTTGAGGGACACACGTGTCCATCAATTAATTACACACGAAACACGTTACAAATTTGAACAAAATAACATGATATAATGACAAAAGAAAACAATGTAGGTTTTAATAGGTATCCCACATCCTTTAAACTTCAGAAATTCATGTTATGTTCTATACTTCTTTTAGGTTTTGCGGTAATGGCATATTCATACCCACATCCATATCCACACCTGTATTTCCTAGGGTGTAGAACCAGTAAACGAGAACCACAACTATGGTCAGTGAAAATATTCTCAATCAATATTCATTCATTCAAAAATTGGATGAGTGGAGTTAGTATGGTGCAGTAGGGGGCGAAAGGAGGTTGTGGGGTCGGGTGAGTTGAAGGGGAAGGGACAAATGCAAGGGAGGAGCTGGACGGAAGTATAGAAAGAAAAATGGGTGAAACTGGTGAGTTTCTTTGTTCTTTAGACAAAATAAGGGAAAATTTGTCTTTTTACTACTGTCTCACCTAATCCAACTACCGTGTGTACATGTGCCGTGAATTCTACCAATTTCCATCCATTTTTTACTTCAGTCCAAACTTCATGGCATCATTTGTTCACTTTTGAACCACAAGAGCTTATGTGTTTTGGGCACAAAGTGTAATAACCCCTAGGAACTAATTTCAAAGCATCAGTGTGATAAATATAAGCATACATCAGTAGCTGAGAATTTCTTTTTATATATTAACAAATGAATTCATTGTTAAAATCAATTTAAACTCAGTAAAGATAATAGCACAAATTATCAAAATCCTAAAAGTGAGTGCTTTTTACTGCTAATTTTACTATTGGAGAAAATTTTGAGGTAATACCTTTAGAGCTGCCACCATCACCCAAAAATCAGACATATTAGAATCAATATCAGCACAACTATCACTGATTATCCGTTGTAGATTTGAACCTGTGATGGAAAACATAAGAAAATTAATAATCTAATTATGTGTTACAGGTATAATTCACAGTCAATTACAATTTACAGTAGAATGGAAGCTCCATATGCCATAATTACCAACTAAAAAAATTGAGAATTCTGCACCTAGACCATCAGGGGCTTAATTCTAATAATGTTTCTAATAAAAAAAAATTAAACTAGAAACTAGGCAACAAAAATTCACATCACCCTATCATTTCTAAATCAACGCAAATACACACGCACATAAAAAGATGCAGACTGCATACTTCGAATGCACTCTGGGTCTCAAATTGCAATCAACCAAATATTTCAATCGTGATTGAAATTCCAATACTCAAAGTTCTTGAGAATCTGATAAACCCGTAAGTACCATGGAATTTAAAGAGAAGAAAGAACTTGATTAAGTTCATGCATCTTTGGAACCTTGAATCAATCATGCACACTGTAAAGGTTGAGGGTCACTTATCGGAGGCATAGATTTACTAAATCAGCAGAACAAACCATCATTGAAAAATGTTTGATGAACAACCATGAGAAAAAATGTAAGAAAATACTAAAGGTAGAATCTAAACACAATTCCTTACCAATATGACTGTAAAAATTAAGTCCATTCATATTTTATTTTTAAAAAAAATCCAATTTTTATACTGCCCACAATCTGTTGAGTTTCAGAACTTGGCCAAGTGACAGTTTCCCCAATTAAATAAGGATTCTACAACATTAAATGCACCAGACTGTCCCCTTGTGAGTGCAAAGCAGCGTCACGCAGCTTATTTTCTTAATACTGGATTCTGTTCTGAGAGGACTGCTTGTCTATAGAAACAACACAATAGGTTCACATGGCCGAGTTTGGCACACTTATCTGCGCCATGCCTCAACCACTATGCATGAATTTCTTCACTCTCTTATCACTCAAATAAATCAGACAATATTCCTTACCAGCAAGTTGCAGCTTGGTTAGTGACCAGGTGGCATCACAAGTGATGTGCTGAGTGAACAAACCAGCTCAACTCAAGTGAGTATAGGTTTGTTTCGAGACTTGTGTTGCCATGATGTTGTTTGATATAATTCTTCCACTAAACCTTACAACATTAATCTATGCAAAAAAAAAACCTCCATCTTCCTCTAAGTTTTGATAACAGCTATGAAATATGAGACACCACCTATGAAACAGGAGCAGTTCTTTAACAACCAATAGAATTAGGGAATGAGACTATGAGAATCAAAAAGTAATATACTATGACCACTAATATTGACCAATACTAAAAGGCATCAATTGATGTTATACCAACAACACTGATTCTGAAATGTATCCGCTCCATACTAAACTTTCATGACTCCAGTAAATTTTTGCATCAATCAATATGTATTCACATCAGGCCAATTTTTGAAATCATTTTTTAGCTAAAGAGGTTGGACAGAAATGTTCAGACTCTGATCCTTATTCATTAGTTGATCACTTTGATATTATCTCTCTATTCCATTGTTGAAACTTCCCAAGCAAAGCTGTTTGAAGTATAGACATTTCTTTTGGAACAAACAAACTCATGATATTGGTTACATTACAGGTGCACATTCTTCATGAACCTTATTGGCATGGGCCATCATAATGCCAGCAGATTGATTAAAGCAGCCCATTGAGCTTAGCACCGATGGGTGGACGACAAGTTTATGCATGTCAACAAGGGTCCTATGCATTTTATCTTCAGTAAAAAGGTTTTAAACCCTTCAATACAACTGCATTTACAGTTTACAGCATTCAATTTTAAGTCTATATCTATCCCAAGTCCTAACCTAATCAATTTAACAACACAACAAACTCCTTTTGAAATTTTATCCTTCTTAAAACTGGTAATAATGCTTTGTGAACTTACCAATTCCTCGAGGAGCAAACACTTTGAATGAGGCCTCAATCGCTTCTTTAAAATTGTCTTCATCCATTGCCCTCATCCTCGCTCTAATTAGATCCTAACATGTTCAGCATGCCAACCAAGCCACCTTAGTATGCTGCGTGAGTAAGATGAAATGTGGGACTAAATGTGCAAACCTTGAAATCTTTTTTCTCTTCCCTGGTTGATGGAAGGCTTCCACCATGAGTTTTGGCCCACTCTTCTGCCATCTTGACAAGAATAACAACATATGGTATGTGTTTATGGACAACAGGATCAGGCACGTCCAGATCAATTGTTTCTGCAAAGCTATCATTGATAAAACATGCAATCAGCATCTCACTCAAGATGTAAGCTGTTTAGGTACGAGGAGAACAAAAAATTAAATGCCATTAGCATATACAGACTAACAATTAATGAGCCAAAATAAACAACTCACAACAGTCAACCAAACAAATGAAAAAAACAAGTTTTGAGACCCATACCTCCTCAACTCAGGCCATGGGCAATTTAGTCGGAGATCATCTAGAAAATGATCAGGCTTTGACTCAATCACAGTATGTTCCTGCCTCAAAGATGCAAAGTAGAATTACCACCCCCAGCTCTGCAGAAAGTACAAGTCTGGTATTTTCTTCTAAACTTAATTTCTACTTTGGTGTTTCTTTCAATTCAAACAATCTTGATTAACATCCCACCTCACCCTTGTGGGAAGAGCAAAGAAATTTCTAAAATAACAAGCCCACAAGAAATCTGTGATTGTTCAAAAATTAAAACAAAAATATTAAAATTTGATAATGTGTTCATCCTTGCTATGCCTCCGATTTTTATATTGTAGCCACTACCATCCTAATACTAACTTTTCCAAAATGCCAAGTTAATAAATTTAACCCAAATATACATATATATATATATAAATTAACCATACATTTTAAGGTCCATTACCTTCACACTGATCCGAACAAAACCTGTGAGGCCATAGGAGCGTGCAAATACCAACATGACATTTGCTTCCCGACAGATTCTATCCAACTTCACCATTGAATCTTCCGCTAGCTGATAGTGTAATAAGAGCATACCCATTGAAGAGGAAAATTTGAGAGGAACAAAAAAAAAAAAGCAAATTACTAATCATACAAAACAGTGTATCAAGGAGCGGGAAAGCCATCAAGGCACCAAATAACAACCTCTTATTCCATTATATATCGGTATCAAATCCGAAAAGAAAATGATCAGATTTATGGACAATCGGATATAGAATTGTATTACACTGTTACGTTTATGATCATTATTCATGCTAATATGTTATTTTTCATTATCAAAGAGTGAATAATAATATTTCAGACTTTCAGTGTCAAAATAGCACATCAAGGATGGACAATGAGTCACTTTCTTTTCCTCCGTTTCATGTGTGTGTGTGCACACTCTTTGCATGTACAATGTCAACCTACTGGTCTAAATCAACAGCAATGTTAACATGTACACAGCATAAAATCACAATACCATTTGTTGCTGATCAAAAAAAAATAATAATAATAAAAATAAATAAATAAAAAAAAACAAAATCACAATACCACCAACTAAAAGGAAACAACAGAACATTAAACCCAACATAAATATCAAATCTCGAATTTTTGGATCCAAACCAAAGCAACACTACTCAATTTAGCATCACAATTACTAAAAAAAAAATATGATGCCAAAAATCCACACCTGTGTGGCTACCACCAAGGTAAACTGAGAAAAGAATGATGGATTTGTCTGAATTAATGCCTCTGGATACTCTTCTATAAATTTGGCTTTAACAGCATCATTTAGCTCCTGAAGAAATGCACACACAGATTTTGCCTTTGATTGTCCAACACTTGACTCATCCACTACCAATGCCACAAGTAAGTAAAACATAAGAACAAAAATATAAGTGAATATAATGCCATAGTTAAGGCACATACCCATGAAGTTATTTCCAAGGTCCCCCACTTCAACTTTAGAACCATCAATAACAGTGATACTTCCAATCCCACCAAGAACAAGATTTTTTAAGGTTTCAGAACCAGTAGGGCCACAATTAAGCAAGCATATACTTGCTTTCCCAAGGGCAGCCTGTCCTTGCTCTCCCCAAATCCTGCAATAAATATTATAATTTTACGTCTGTTTCTTCAAAATAGTATTATCATGATTCACAATAAAAGATCTTTTAAAAAAATAAAAAATAAAAAGTAGGAAACTTAATAAAAAACTAAAAAAAAAAATGGATGGTCAACAAAGTCAAAATTTATAGATTGATCAATTTAAAGAACTAGTCACTAAAGTACTAAAATAATATAAATTAGGTAAATGCAAAGAGAAATGGGTATTGGGTCTTATTTATAAAAACTTTTAGCAAATGTGTCTCAAAGTCTGAACTGTGGATACAATTGCTGATACATGACCATATTTTACTAGGCTTCTACAAACTACAGACATGAGTATCAATGGAAACAAACCAAACAAGAGGAAAATGCATGGCAGAACCTTATACCCATTACATAATCTCTCAACAATTTTATCCCCATCAAGGCCCATTTCATATACACTCCCTGTGTGGCAAACTATAAGAAAAATGAAAAGAAAGGAATAGGAAAGAGAGAAACAAATGAAAAAAGAAAGGATGGTGGTACCTCTCTTGTTCGGTTAAATTTTTTTTTTTGATAAATAAAAAGCAAAAGGCTCCCCTTGAGAAAAATAAATAAATAGAATTTGAGCAAGAGGGGCAAAAACGAAAACCACTTCCCACAACTGGTAACCACTCCTTCCATTTCCTTTCTCGCCAAATATCCCCTTCGTGTGTGTGTAATAAGTCTCCAAATGTTTTGGGGATAAACATCAACTGCAAGGCCTGAGACAACCCAAAAAGAACATGACATTATGGCTTTCCACAAAATTATATATGTCTATGAGATCGAGAGCAGAAGAATTTTGCTCAAAATATTGTTCCTCTTCCCATCGAACCCCTTTCTCCATGGTCCACATAGACCAAATATAATACAGATGCCAACAGTTCATCACGGAAGTAAAGGTTTCACTAAGCCAGGATCACTAACTAAGGTTTTGTTTGGGACTTGCTATATAAGCCAACTTTTTGTTTGCCATCAACTAAAAAAGTCAAATGTCTAATCAGTCTTTTCACTGGCAAAAACAATTTTTTTAACGTTGTATTTGGTTGGACAATTTGAGGAGAGATTTGGAAAAAGAGAGGGAAAAGATATGTGAAACTAGGTAAAATATTGATATATCTTATTTCCATTTTACTTACTATTTCCATTTTCATTTCCCTTTCCAAATACGTGTCAAATCTCTCAACCAAACACAGGAATTACAGGCAGGTGGGAGAAGGGGAAAAAATAACCAACACATGGAGAGGTGCACCCCATCACAGAGTCACTTGCACCCCTATGTGTTGGTAATTTTTTTTCCCCTTCTCCCACCTGCATGTAATTCCCTCTTTCTTTATCAACTTCCCAAACACATTAGTTTCTAGCTTTCAAAAGCCTATTTTTTTGGGGAGAAAACTCTTCCTCTCCCTCCATTTCTCCCTATTTTTTAAGCATCCAAACAGCCTCTCTGCGGACCCAGCAGTAGCAGGGTAGCCTCGTGAACTGAAACAATACTGTAGCCCTCCCTAATAATCAACAATATTGAAGCTAACGAATTTCCTAATCTTATTTCATCACATAGTTTTGGTTTTCAAGACAACTCTGGAACACTAATCTCGAACTAAACCAGATATTTATATTAAGCTCAGAATAGCGGGATATAAATATATATATATATATATCGTTTCTTCGGGTATTTTACTTTCTTGGCAACCAAACAAAGAGCAATGCTAAATAAAGTTGTAAGAAGTGAGAAGTTAGAGTATTGAGTATCAGAGAAAGTTAGGGCGAGGGTACCTGAGCTGACGATCGTACTTGGTTTTGGGTTCCGCCATTGTTTTTTTTATTTTTTCTTGGTTCTTCTTGACTGTAATTAAGCTCGGTGTTTTGGGTTCGCTTGCTAGCTACGCAGAATGCGATTGAGGACCGTGACCTGTGTTGTGGCAGTGTTTGTTGCGTCCGGATCCTCTAGAGTGAAGACCCTCAAGTGATCTCCTAGTGTAACTCATCAAACGGCTGAAATGCAAATCAACTAAAACGACGTCGTTTTGATTAAAAATTTGAAAAAAAAAAAAAAAAAAAAAAAAAAAAAAAAAAAAGATGAAAATAGAAACGAAGAGAGAGAGAGAGAGGACACACAGTTACCGGAATAATTCTCCATCTCCGACGCACTCTCCTTCTCTCGGCGACCCCACCCCTTCCCTCCCCTTCTCCTCTCCTCAATACATGATACATGACACATGGTAACCCACAGCCACCCAACTTTGTCTAAAACTCTCAAAGCTTTTCTTTCTTTTCTCTTCTCTCTCTAATTTTTTCTTTCTCTGTTTCTCTCCACACATTTTGAGAGGTCACTCTATTTCTCCCTACAGTTTCTTACATTTTCTAAAGCAAAACCCTAAAGTAAGAAGTAGAGGGGCTGAGGAAGAAATCATCTCTGGCCAGTTGAGCTCCTCCTCTTCAATTGAAACTCAAACCCAATTTATCCAACTCAAGCACAATTACTCAAACCCAGTTTATGCAACTCAAACTCAATTCCTCCTCCTCGATCTTCAATTTATCGAACCCCATCCAACCATAACTCCCAAATCAAAAAAAAAAACTTATTAATATAAAAATTAAAAAATCCAAATTCAAACACAACAATAATTTTCAACCTTCTCTACAAACCCACAGGAAAATAATCTCAAAGAAAAAAAAAAAGCATTTGGGAGAATATTGTTTGGTTTATTCATGAATATTCGTTGGGATTGTTTGGTCGGTGAATTCGACAATCTCGATCGATTCAAGGAAATTCAATGATGGGTTTCCAGACCCAAAAAATGAAGGAATCGATGATTGCCTCCGTGAAGTTTCCGGTGGTGAAGACAGAAATCGATGAGCAGAGAGAGAAAGAAAAGGCGAGCAGAAAATGAATGAATTTTTTTTTCCTCACCAAAGTAATCTCAACCTTTGATTTTATTAGTGGGGCACGTGTCAAGCCCTACCAAATCACTCTAGAGGATCACTCCACCAGATCACTTTAGAGGATCCTTGCGCGTGTTTTTATGTAGGGAGAGAGAGTGTGGGCAAGATCTGAAGGCAATATTGGTTTGGGTTGCGTTTGGTAGATTTTATAATTATGATTTGGTAATATAGTTTTATTTTAAGTTTGTAAAATTATTTTGGAGCTTTAGCTTTATTGGAGTGTGGGTCCTACTATGATAATGATGTTTGCGTCTTGTGATTTTTTTGTTTTTTAACTTTTTATGTCATTAGAGCTTATTGATTTAGAGGGATGTATCATTATTGTTAAGTTTGCGAGTTTTAAAATTATGATTCAAGTGTATAAAATTTATTTAGTTATGAGTTTTGAAAACAACTTTAAAAAGAATTTTGAATTAAGTGATGTGACATATGATATTTAATTCAAAGCTTTACAGCTCATAACTAAACACACAAATCAAACTTATATTCAAAACTCATAAAAAATTTAAAAACAATTCCAAAATATTTTTTATTTAAAATATAAAAATAACAAGTGCAACAAAAAAAAAAAAAAAAACACAAACACAAACATTGTTCCGATCAACCGACTGGACGTCTAGGAGGATGACTGAGTAGACGTGTTTTCAAAATGAGTATGAAATCAATTTTTGAAAGTTGTAAACAAATACCACATGTAAACCAAGGGGTAGAATTAAAGTTCCAAAACTCTATTTTTTTCTAAATTGAAATTTTTTATTTTTTTGTATTTTTTTTGTTTTTATTGAATTTTTTTAATATTTTAAGTAATTTTTAAAAATTTTAGATATACTTAACTTAAATATACTTAAAAAAATATGATATTTGTAAAAAAGAAAAATTTAAAAATTCACTAAATACCAAAAAAAATATAAAAAATCAGTATGTTTTTTGTATTCTTATATATTTATTGATTTTTTAAAATATTTTTTTATAAATATTTTACTTTTTAGATACATATAAGTAAAATATATCTAAAAAAATGTATAAAATTTAAAAATATCACTAAAAATACAAAAATACAAAAAACAAAATACTCAATTTTTACAAAATTGAATTCAGAAAATTGAAAACACAGTGATTTATTTTATGGAAATTCTATCTATATATCTTATTTAGAGATTGTTGTTTAGACGTATTGGATAATGGCATTGTAATCTATTGAAGTGTTAATTTTGAGATATATAGTCATTTGATTATTTGATTGAAAATAATGTGTATTCATGTTTATTTAATTATGGGATTAAAAGTCATCAAATAATTATTTTTAATTTTTTTTAAATTAAAAATTAATTTCTGAAAACTAAACTAAATATGTCCTAAATATTTAGAGGAAAAAAAATATTTTTTACTAGTTAATTCAAATGATGGCATGTCCAAAGACTAACAGCCTGATCGGACTATTAGTCCAATTTTTACAAAATTGAATTAAAAAAATTGAAAACACAGTGATTTATTTTATGGAAATTCTATCTATATATCTTATTTAGAGATTGTTGTTTAGACGTATTGGATAATGGCATTGTAATCTATTGAAGTGTTAATTTTGAGATATATAGTCATTTGATTATTTGATTGAAAATAATGTGTATTCATGTTTATTTAATTATGGGATTAAAAGTCATCAAATAATTATTTTTAATTTTTTTTAAATTAAAAATTAATTTCTGAAAACTAAACTAAATATGTCCTAAATATTTAGAGGAAAAAAAATATTTTTTACTAGTTAATTCAAATGATGGCATGTCCAAAGACTAACAGCCTGATCGGACTATTAGTCCAATCTATAATTTTTCAGCCAAATGATGAACTACTCGATATGGTGGAAATGGAGTCTAATCCCTCCTTTCAATTCCTCTAAACAGACAAACTGGATAAGGGGATTGTAATTCATTGGACTGTTAATCCTAAGATACACAGTCCCTAAATTATTTGATTAGAAATTATGTGTATCACATGTTTGTTTAATCATAAAATTAAATGTCAGAAAACTATTATTTTTAAAGTTATTTTTTATTTTTTAAATGAAATTTTAGAATTAGTTTCTAAAAACTAAACCAAACCAAATATGTCCTAAATATTTGGAGGAAAAAATTGCCTATGTATTAGCTAATCTAGAGGAGAGCTTGACTGTGTATCCACCCCTCCCTCCAAGACAAAATAGTTCCACATATAGAGGATTAATAGTCCGGTAACCCACATTTTTTCAACCAGATAACGGACTACTTGATATGGTAGATATGGACTCCAATCCCTCATTTCAATCCCTCCAAACTTAGAAAAAATTATTTCGCATCCGTCTACTTAGGTAATGAAGATGGATTGTATGGGTTAGCAGTGGATGTGAATTGATTTGACTGTTTGGATTTGACTGTTTTTAAGTTTTTTTCAAATTATTTTATAGTAATTTGTTATTATTTTGGCCTTACTTGAGTCCAATTTTTTTAATTTTATTTTATAATAAAAACAAATGCCTAACTTTTATATTTCATAAATAGCTATTATTATTAAATAAAATGTCTTTTTTTAACCTACAAAGTATAAAAGCATATCATAATTTTTTGGGAAAAAAAAACAAGTGATCTATTTTAATTTTGTCAATTTAAACCATAATATTTTTAATTTTTTTTTTTAATTTAAACCATTTGCTTATTTTTATTAAGTGAAACCAACAAAGAAATTTGTATCTGTTTGGTTGTATTATCAAAATACAATTTCACCATATCATTCGCGCTTCACGTTTGTTTAGGAGTTTCAAATCATAATTCCACACTCACTTTTGAAAACTCGGTCGAAGGCGGAAAAATTTGGATTAACCGGTCATCCCATCGGACGTCCTACCAGACGTCCCACCGGTCGTCCGGCCGGTTGACCGGAATAGTACAAATAAATTTTTTTTTTTTTTTGCAATTGACATGTTAATTTTTATATATTCGAAAAAAATATTTTCTAAATTTAAAAAAAAAAATTATGTGCTTTAATAGAATTTTGAGTTGTATGTTTGGTTATGAGTTCTAAATTTTTGTATCAAATATCATATGTCACATCAAAAATTCTCTACTCAATTCAAAAATCTCTTTAAAACTCTTTTCAAAACTCTTTCACCAAACAAATTTTCCACACTCAAATCATAATTCCAAAACTAACAAACTCAAAATACAACTCCTACTCTCAAATCATATTTAGAAAGCTATACCAAATGCATTTTGTCATTAAACTCAACAAAAATGATATTTTAGACATTTTATATATACATACATTGAGTTTAATCACTAATGAAAATAGACAATGTGGGGACATAATTTTTGAATGACAACACATGGCCGAGGTGACACCGAAGTGTCAGCTAAGGTGTTACGTGTCCTGGTCATGATGCCGAGGTTATCTGTGAGGATACCGGAATCCGGAATAAGCGGATAAGGGACAAGAGTCCTAGAATGGAAGAAGACTTCAGTTTGGATAAAGAAAAGACTCTTAGAGAGTTTATCTCAATCCCACTAGGAGTCCAAGATTAGCAGTAATCCTGAGTCTATTGAAGTTAGGATTCTATTAGGACTAGGATTGTGTTGGCTATAAAAGGGAGGTACCCCTATGGGTCTAAAGGTATGCTTTTTATGCTCTGTCTAGTGAGTTAAGCACTATTGGTTATCTTTGAGAGATATTTTACTGACTTGATTGTCGGGGTGCCCCCGGGTGGACGAGCCACCGCTGGAATCTCTTCTTTCTGTTGTAGGTCGTTCGGGCTTAATCTATTTTGCCGGTGTTCTCCAACTGAGTACTTAGTTGGCAGTGTGGTCGAAAATTGACACACACAATTTGGCGCCGTCTGTGAGAAAGAAAGAAGAATAGATGGCTAACGACGGACAGAAGGAGAAAGTTGGGGATGACACTCCTAACGGGAGTGGGAGACCTGTTGACGTTGACGTCGAGAAGAACAATTGCAACAAAGACCAGAATTACGGAGTGAAAGACGTCGGCCACGAAGGCGACATACCAAAGTAAACAGACCAAAG